TCATGTCGGGTCGTGGTGCAGGAGCAAATAGATCTGGGGTTCTTTTTGATATCTGAGACTCGGTGGGACGCACTGGTTCGGTTCAAGTTCGGTTTGGTCTTTAAATATTCGTCCAAGAGAAGCGGTGGTCAAAGTGATGGCTTTGGAGTATCAATTATTTGTACACCACCTGGCACTCTATACAATTTTGGAGCGACTCATGTGTGTGTACGCCACATGCGGCGTGATTGCGGAAAGTATATTTTGGGACAGCTTTTGTCTCACAGACACCCTCATCATGATGTGGGCGGCGTTGTGGGCTCAGCTGCGCGAAGTTGCGGCTGCTCTTCTCCTGCATGACCTAATCTGTGGATAACAGCACTTATAAGAATAAATCAGCAGCTCTGAGCTTGTTATTCTGACTGCGACATGTGTTCAGTTGGGTCCACCGCGATATCCTCTGCAGCCCGACGAGACGAGACACCTGCAATTGGTACTCGGTTCCTGGATCCAGAGACAACACAACTATCGAGATGGCTGCAGGATCCTAACTCAGACACGATACTCAAGGAGCTTGCTATCTTGATTTCGCAACGAGGAGTGGTATTCTTTCCTAAGCAAGATATCAACATCGAGGAGCAGAAGATTTTGGCACATCGATTAGGGTCTCTCTCGGGCCGACCTGCCTCGTCCGGACTGCATAAGCACCCCATTTCGCCCGAAACGCCCGAGCTTGGGAAGGACGTCTCCGTCATCTCGTCGATGGGGTGAGTTGTAGTTGCTCCTTCTTTCACGTCTTTGTCAAACCGGGATGCAGGGGAATATCTAAAGCCGGTGTAATCGACGACACCAGAGCCAGTAATGGTTGGCATTCCGATATCTCTTTCGAACCTGTCCCTGCGGATTATTCTGTCAGTGCACTCGTACATTGGTGGCCCGGAATTAATATTTCATGAAGATTTTGAAGATGTGCACTATCCCGTCCGGTGAGCCCTGAGCGATATCCAAACACACAAGGATCGACTCATTTTCCTGATACTAGTGGGCGGCGACACATTGGTATGAACTTATGCTATCTGTATATATCTTAGTGACCCTTCAAGCGCTGCTAGTGGGCTAGGTACTTCATCCATTTGAGGGTGCGAACTGCGCTGCGCTAAATTCAATCTTCGCAGCGGCTATGAAGCCTATGACAAACTTTCTCCGACATTTGCAAAGTTCCTCGAGGGACTCACAGCGATACACAGCGCACAATACTTTGTACCGGTTAGCCCCATTATATATATCGAACCAATTGGCTTGATATCGAGACCCGTGGCATAGATGGCAGCGCAGATGGGTTTGTCGATCCAGGACAATCGAGGTTCCCCCGAGAACAGCGGCACCAATTTAACAGCCATCCAGTACGTTCAGCTTTTCAAGTATACATGTCTGGACTTAATGCTCACACAAACGCAGCCCAGTCATCAGGTAGAGATGGTGCAACCCGTTACATAAAAAATGCCCTCAAAATCCGCAGAACACACCCTATCACCGGTTTTAAAACCCTATTTGTGAACAAATCGTTTGTCTGAACGCCATTACACATGACCCTGTCTGACCATCTCCAGATTCACCACGCGCATTGTGGAGCTCAGCACGGAGGAGTCGGACGACATGCTCAACTATCTGGCGCGGCATATCTCCGAAAACCACGATCTTCAAGTCCGATATCGCTGGGGCACAGACGACGTGGCGATCTGGGACAACCGATGTGTCCTGCACACGGCAACGTATGCGGTGGACTTTATTCTTGCCGTGAAAGGATACTTAGCCTGTTGTAGAAATGACTATGGCGCACAAGAGAGAGAGGGAAATCGGGTCGTGGGGATCGGAGAGAAACCTTTCTTTGATTCTGGATCGGTATCTCGGAGGGCGCGGCACAAATAGTACCATGTATTACGAGGTTGATTTCATTGGATGCGCTCATGGCTTGTATCGTGCGGCTTCCGATATAAATACAAATGCCGAAAAGAGGGGCGAATCAGGTACGGATGCGAGGAGGAGGGCACGCGCGGAAATTGTTATAACCCGCCAGCGCAGTATCTAGCTAATCATCTAAATGTTACATTGAAGACCCGTGGATGGAATGGGAGATTGAAAGACGGCGCGCAACACGGGGACGAAAATGTTTAGGGCGCTCACGCCGCGGTGTTGACATCACCCTGCCTCGATCCAGTCTTTGTTTGATGAAGCAGCTAATGTTCGCCCCATGCATTCACCTGAAAATTAGAGTTCTCTGCAGCGGCGCGAAAGGATCTCTCGCCCGTCCCATAGCAAAATAAGTGCCACTGGAAGTTGAACCGTGGGAAGAGCAGAGTAAGCGAACGCAAGCGCTGTCGGATCAATTCGGTTCTCCTTCAATCAACTCAATGTGCCCTGCGCTGGACCTTCCACATTGAGAGGTAGCACAGTTCTCGCAACAACATCAACACCCTGGCGGGCCCTCCATAATTCACAAGTCCAAGTCCACTTTTGAATTCCCATTCTTCTTCACCGATACAAGGCCCAGAATAAGATGCACGCTCCATTTCTCCGAGGCCACCATGAAATCTGCTGGTTCGCCTCGACCACGTAGCCTTCATTTTGGTAGTCCACTCTCCGAATTTAATTTCCTTCTACCAGCTGCAGGTCAAGACGATACCCCGAGACGCAGGAGAGGAGCCGACTTTGCGTTGTATGTTGTAAGACCGGACCGACGCTCTAAACGGACAAGGGCGCCTCGCCCATAAACGGCGCCCCACCGAGCTGCACCGCACGGCGCTGGCGCTGGGTCCTAGTCCTATAGTGGTACGCCACGGGCGCGCCATCGGCGTCCCCGGCGCCGTACGCCGGCGGGGGCCGCGAAATGACTGCGACGAGCGTCTCGCTCGAGCTCGCCGCGCTGTGCATGTGCGGCGCGCGTTTGTCGGCGACGGGGGGCAGCTGCGGGCGCGTGAGATGGAGATGCGAGATGCGAGTTGATATGAGATGCGACGCACCGGGGTGCGGGCTCGGGGGCGGTTTCTGTTTCTGGTTTGGCGCCGGCGCTGCGCCCAGGCGTAGTAGCAGGTTAGGGAGAGGATGCAGAGGAAGAGGGCGAGGCCGGCGACGGGGAGCCAGCGGGGTGTGTGTGTGTGCGCTCCCGGCCCAGGGCTGGATGGGGATGGCGGTGGGGATGGGGATGCGAGGAGGACGCTGATCGCGGGGCTGGGGCTCGGCGACCATGGGGGTGGCGATGGGTGGGCGCTGGCGCTCGAGGGCAGGGCGGTGCTGTGCGGCGCCATGTCGAGAAGCTGGATGCAGAGGGGGAGGAGGGCGGCACGAAGGGGATCCGCGGGTGGGGGCTTTATACCGCAAGACAAATAAAACAGGGACTGAGACAGTGCGGTGCTTCCGCGGCCGTGTCTTGGGCGGAACCATTCTGTTTGGGGTACCCCGCCATCTAGTGGTTTAGGGGTGGGCCTCGACTCATCTGGAATCAGTACATGGTCTAGATGCATTTTTAATATGCCAGTGCAGCGCCATCGACTTGAGGCCAAGTTGTCTCCGATCGCATACCTAGAATAGCCGTATCAAGAAAAATGGATGACCACCCTAATCGGGGGCGACACTGGGTGGTGCTCCTCCCACTGTTGTGCTGAGTTCAGTTATTTGCAGCTGGGACGACCCACACGGTGTCGCGACTACGAGGGCAGGGGCACGGCACGCGCATGCGGAGAAGCCGTTCTTCATCGTTCGACCCCGAGTCCAAATCCGTTGCGTGAGCGTACCGCGTAGCCGCTAATTTGGATCTTATTCGAATGAGAAGATCTCTTTTCGGTGGATTTGGGATCTGAGCTGGGCTTTGCGTCCAAGCGGGCGTGAGTGGTTTGGGTATGCTCGCCGGGGGGCGTCGCGCGCGGACGAGAACCGGGAGCAAGCGATTGATTATTTGGGGCGGGCACGGGGCGCGGGGCCGTCGCAGGTGATTCGCGCGTATACGTAGGAGCCGGCGTACCAAGGTCCAAGTGCAAGGCAAGACCCGCCACGTCCAGCTCTGGCTTCGTGCGCCTCCTTCCGTGCTTCCTCTTCCGCCCTCGTTCGGGCGCGGGCGCGGACTCGGAATCCGTGTCCCCGCGCGCACGACTCCGTTCTCGTCCGAGCGCACGCTCCCCTCTCCTTTCGCTCGGAGCACGTCGTGATTGCGTTCGGGAAGACGAACCCGGCGGCCGTCCCGTCGGCCGTCTCCGAGTAGGTAGTCCAGGCGACAGTGAATTCGGTGAGCCTCCGTCCGTCGATCAGGCTCCTCGCAGGTCTACCAAGCGCCAGACCTCTTCGTCTCCGAACGCTTCTTCTCCTTCAGCGATAGACACGAACGTGGAGTAGTCCATGCGTGCAAATCTGGCTCGTCATCGATCGCGGGTGCGTTTTATCTGTGATTTGGATTTGGAGTTGAATTTGCTGTTTTGGTTTGGAGTTGAAGTTGAATTTGAATTTGAATGTAAGGCGGTATGACGGGGGTGGCGGCCGGGACAAGCACGACGAGCGTGCGACTACAAGGGCACGGGCGGCGCGCGCGTGCGGAGCGGCTCAAGTCCAGGCCGCGCTGGGGCTGGGATCGTTGCATTTATATGGTATGAGGGTCTGAGCTTGATGCATTCGGGGAAATGGTGAGGCAATTTCACAAGTCAAGCGGTGGTGATTGGTTTGGGGAGATAGATGCTCGCCAGGACAGTCAGTCGGGAGCGAGCTGGTTCGTGCCAGTTTTCTCCTAGACAAATCTGGAGAGGGATGGGATATAGCGGCCGTGGGGAGTTACTTGAACCTCGCGGTTAACAGCCTGTGAGAGCCTGTGAGATGTTTTTTCTTTCAGAGTCCGCACACCCCGTCCAGCCTGAGTTCGTCGGCACCGCAACCCTCGAAAGCGCTTAAGACCCTTGATTTCCGGCCATAGGGTGTCCAGAAAGCCGGGAGCAGGGTGTAAAAATTGAGCCAGATCCATAGTGCGGGCAAAAGAGCCAATCAGACACGAAGAATCGAACTCCGGCATCCCATTGACTTTTGTTGCACTTCGGAACGATGGATGGGTGTGCTGCCATTACACCATATCTGACTGGTAGATGAGCCCGGATGAGCGCAGGACAGCCGCAGAGAACGAGGTGTGCGCATCAGCAAAAGCAGCCGGAGTGAGTCGGCAGCTGACTAAGCCATCCTCGTCGTCGTCTCCCTCCTCCTCGCCGCTCCCTCGTCGCCCCAGTGCCCGATGTCTCTCCCCAAGGCAAGTCCCCCCGCCTGCCCTACCCGCGTCCCCGACCAGGCGCTGATCTGCGCACCCGCGTCCTTATCGGATTAGCGCATAATCAAGGTCTCTCCCGCTTCCCCGTTGCTGGCACTGCGCCCCCGCTGAGCCCGCGCCCAGGAAACCGAGCGCCTCGTCGCGGACCCCGCGCCGGGCATCACCGCCGCGCCCCACGACGACAACCTGCGCTACTTTGACGTGACCATCCAGGGCCCCGATGGGAGCCCGTTCCAGCGTGCGTGCTGCCACCTTCACCTTCCTTGACGACGTACTATTCGCGCGCTGTGCCTCCATCCATCCATCCATCCCCCCACGAGCGCTCCACCCCCTCCGCCCTCGTCCTGCCACCAACATGTACTGACTCGTCCTTGCCGCAGAGGGCATATTCAAGCTGGAGCTCTTCCTGCCAGAAGAATATCCCATGGCGCCCCCGAAAGTGCGCTTCCTCACCAAGATATACCACCCCAACATCGGTGCGCCCCCTCCCTCCCCCCTTCGTGCTTCTCACTCACTCTTCCCTCCCAGACAAACTCGGGCGCATCTGCCTCGACATCCTCAAAGGTGCGTCCCCCCCTCTACTTGAACGAACGGCTTGCTGATGCGATGGGACGGATGCAGACAAGTGGTCCCCGGCCCTCCAGATCCGCACGGTGCTGCTCTCAGTGCAGGCGCTCCTCAGCGCGCCGAACCCGGACGACCCGCTCGCGCCCGACGTCGCGAAGCACTACAAGGAGGACGAGCAGGGCGCGCAGCGCGTCAGCCGCGAGTGGACGCAGCAGTATGCGTCCTGAGCGCTGCGCATGCGAGGTGTGTGCGCCCGCGGGTGTAGAGGCGCGGATGTATCGTGATATCGGGGCGCGGTGCGGTGTGGTGCGGGCGGATATATATTGTATCATGGCATCTTGAACGACAGAATGTACACTGGAACGATCTTCTCCCTCACCTCTCTTCCCTCCCTCTATTCTCTGGTCGTGTGAGGTGCGCCGACCCGCATTGCTGGTTTGGGGGGGCCTCGCGATTAACTGCGATCTCCGTGTAGTACCCATCCGTTCCTCATGGGGACCACCGCGGTAATATATCTTCGCCCTCCTCCGCCCCACTGGCATCCCGGACGCTTGTTTTAATGCTTATTTCATGATTAGATAATGCCACCCCGGCGGGTTCTCGCTTTAGCTTTCGTTTCGTTTTCGTTTTCGTTTTCGTATTCGTTTTTGGCATCCGGACGCTCTTTGATTCGCGCGGTCCGGCGGGCAGCACTAGCGATTCTGGAGCAGGACAAAGTAGAGGCGCTGCTGACCGGTGAGTTGACGATGGAGAGCAATATGGAACTACGAACGTCGCTGAATTCACCGCTGTTCGCGACACGAACCTCGACTAACGGTAATATCGCTTGTTCATTCTGGTACAGTACCCTAGCTCAACCCTAGCTCATTGGACCACCGCAATACATCCCCATCCCCCTGCGCTGTGTCGAGTCCCGCTTCGCCGGGCATCTCTACCTTCGGTGCCGAATGACACCCGGGGCTGTCGATATTATAATCCACTGCATCTCCAGCCGGGAATTCCGAATCAGTATGCCGAGCCCGTTCAGCTGCGCTGCATCCACCGTGCTCTTCATCGACATGGAAGATGGGATAGACGAGACGAGACGAACGAACCTGAGTCAGACCGTCGGCGCTCCGACTCGCATGGACGATTCTGAATCGGCGTATTGCGGTTTCCGGTGGTTGGCGTTCTGGCTGCGCCATCGCTGGCCGACGACGCGTGCTTTGCTGCTTAGATTATTTACTGTCGGCTCTCCGAGCTTCAAGCTTCAAGCTTCAATGCCAGCCCGGCGGGGTTCTCGTCCTCGTTTTCGATTCTGGACTCGGAGCAGTGCACAGCAAAAGCTCCGAGTCTGCGCTTGAGTTGACGATGGAATGCGACCGCCACTATGAACGCCGCTATAATTCCCACACGAACCTCAGCCTTAGCAGCTCGCTCGTTGGATTTTGCGCATGGGCTAAGACGAACCAACCACTCGGCGTTCCGACTCACCCCGATGCATCCGACACTCATCTTACGACTCCGAAAGCTCAGCCATCCTCATCCTCATCCTCGTATCCGCGCCTCGGCTTGCAGCTAGTGGTGTCCCGGGCTTGGCTCGGGCTCAGATTTTCGCCCGACCCGCGGCGCGGGCTTGATCAAGCTACATAGGGCCTCAGTGGGTACCATCCGGGGTAGAATTTTCAATTGGAATGGTACCGCCAACTTGAAGGCCCTTGCAGCATCGATAAACTGAATCAAAACGTACTCTGCAGGTTTTCTCACCTTGAATGTGGCGCGCCGAGAGGTAGGTAGGTAGGTCGGATTATACGGCACGGTCGCGGTCGCCAAACAATTTTGATGGAATGATGGTTGAACATCGGAGTTGAACGTTGAGCAAACAAACAGTTGGTGAAAAGGGTTCAAAAATTACCGGAACGACCCGTGCAGCGTAATCGTATAAAGAACATTGAATTCCCGCCGAAACTTGCCTTGAACGCAGCCAAGTCCGGGCTTGGGGGATTTTCTCGAGCCCAAGCCCGAATCGACCCACACATGCCCTACAAGTTGCAATGATGTTGATTTGCTGCGGCGGGGCGAGCAGCGCTGGTTTGCGGACTGGCGGGCGTATCTCGAGCCCACTATAAGGCGACTCCCAATGACACCGGAGGCAAGGGCCGACGCGTGTTAACGCCACATGCGTCGGCTTTTGCCCCGGTGTGAGGCTGTTGGGCGCTAATACACCCCACAGAGCTCCCCGTCTTACCATATTAGGCTTCATGCGCCGAGATTTGGGCGGTGCGTCTTTTAGCAGTCCAGACTCATGCGCGGCTTGCCAATGAACGTCGCGGACGAGATTGGTGCGCCTACTTTTTTTTTTCGTTGAGTTTCATAATTTTCAGCCTCTCGATTCAGCCTTGTTGTTCAGACCGTATGCAGCCTCCACTCTGAATTGCGCAGGTTCTATAGGTTCTGGGCAAGGAATGAGTGTCTAGAGCAAGTCCGGAGAGACCCACGACGGACCAGATCTTGGGCTCGGCCCGTCTCGGCCGACGTTGCCTCCCGGATCTCGATGAGATAAGGGGAAGAACATCCTTCTTCCGACCAACCACGATGTCCACATTCGCCAGCAGCGCATACGACTCCGAGAGCTACGCTGCGTCGAGGCCGTCCTATCCACGGCTTCTCTACGACGTCGTCTTGCAATTCCACAGGGAGGGGCCGGCGCCGGAGACTGCGGCCAAGTGGGAGCGCGCCGTCGACCTTGGCTGTGGGACTGGTGGGTGTTGTCGTGGTATATCAAGTCACAAGTTGACGCCGTCTTCCAGGCCAGGCGACGATTCAGCTGTTGGCCAGTGCGTCTGCCCTTCCTGATACCATTCCGGAACTCAAGTACTCACGTCTTGCCAGCCGAGGAGCATCCAGGGTTCCAGCGCGTGCTGGCCATTGATCCCAGCGCCAACATGGTCGACGTCGCCAGGGAGCACGTTCCCGACGAATATCGAACCCGCGTGGAGTTCCGGCAGTCTGCCGCAGAGGAACTGAGCTTCATCGAGGACGGGACGATCGATTTGGTGATTGCGGGTAATATCGTTATTAATTTAAAGCTCTGCGTCGACTTACTTCACGGCAGCCCAATCCGCGCATTGGTTCGACTGGACTAGGGCGTGGCCGGAATTCCAACGAATTTTGAAGCCCGGCGGAACGTTCGCGTTCTGGGTAAGCGCCCGGCTCATTGCGGTACATATCTTATAGTAATCACTGATTATCCGTCAGGGATACTCCGACATCCGAATAACGCGGTACCCCGAGCTCACCCCGCTCATCTCGGAATACTCGCATGGCAACGACCCCGCCACGTCGCTCGGCCCCCACTGGGAGCCCGGGCGCCAGATCCTCGACGGCCACTTCCTCGCGATCGACGCGCCCGCGGCGGGGTGGGCGGACCTCACGCGCGTGTTCTACACGGGGCCGCACTACGCGGGGCTGCCCACGCCGCCGAGGGACGTGATCTTGAAGCGGACGATGACGTGGGGCGGAGGCTTCGCGGGTTACCTGCGCACATTGAGCGCGCTGCATCGCTATCACATCGCATTTCCCGAGGACCGCCAACGCGCCGACGGGGATATCGCGGAGCGGTTCCGTCGGGCGCTGATGAACGCCACCGGCCTCCCCGAGGGCGCCGACGCGGACGCGACCCTTGTCGAGGTCGAGTGGCCGCTGGCCCTCGTCATGGTGCGCAAAATGTAGCGGGGGTTTTGCTTTGGTGCTGTAACTGTTCAGTGTGTGCCTGTTCATTTGTTCATTCTTCCTTCGCTTATACGTGGATCGTGATTGCACTAATTATAGTCGGCAATTGAGCGATGCGATTGGCTCCTGGCTGTGCTATTATAAGACTGCATCCCTAACCCGACCCGACCCATGTGAAACCCCCTTATCCTCTCGTGCTTCCCTCAACGAATTTCGTATGTACGCTTGCGGGGCTGAGAAATCCACACAGCTTTCTTATAGTCCGACCTGGGATATCTCTGCACATCTAAAACCGTGTATCCTTCAAGGCGATGCGCGGGGATTTTACGGGTAGGTAGGTAGGTAGGTAGTATTACACGGCCGGTCCCGCTGATGAACGCCGGGAATCGTAGGGGTCGCATGCATTACCGTTTCCATGGATGTTCCCTCCGTGTTGCAATCTGTTGCAATCACGTATGATACCAAGGGGTTGGATCATGTGGGTAACGGGAAAGGGGTTTTTCTAACTTTCTGTGTCCATACGGACGCTGCCCGTGGTG